TATAAAATATTTATAGGAAGTATTCATACTTACATCATTGTCATCAAGGAGAGAATAAAGATCAATTTTGTCGAATCTAATTGATCCTTGAAACGGATAAATCAAGGTTCCCGATGGGATAAATACATTCGACCATACCGAAATTCTCATATCCAATATGCTTGAATCATTCTTGAAGAGATTCTTACAGGCTGACTGATCGTTGGTAAGGACCAAGGAAAATTCTCTAGGTATCAATACACAAGTTTCCATAACAGAGACTCACGAGGAAAAAAGTATTTTAAGGATTTACCACACTATACCGGTACTTTCACTTTGCAAATTATTATTTTGAGTATATCTGTAATTCCACCATCAAAATAGAATGTTTTAGCGAAATAAAATCGAAACACATTTAGTATATTGCGTATCAAACGAAAAGTATATTGTTAATAAATTTCAACGCAGAACAAATAAAATCACACGTTCTTTAAAAACAATTTAATCTTCAAATGTTATCACGATAATAATTTGTTAATTACGCGTTAATATGTATATATTTGTTGCGTATTATATTAAAACACAGAATAACACATACACGTATACACGAGAATGCAAACAAACGGAGAAATAGAATCATTCGTTGTGCAAGGTGCAAGGCCCTCAGCCGACTGGACGGGATTAACCGACTGATCTTGACCTTGCGACGGGTTAGCAGCATTTGCTACCGAATGGTGAGCCCTTCCCCTCTCGAAACCACCTATTCCTACTCGCCCCACCGAGCTCTCGGCGTGATTATTATTCTTTTTCATCGGCGTAGTAGGAAATAGCCTTAGGGATATTCGACTGGCCTCGACTGGATTTCTCCACTCTTCATCAACCGCTCGCTGTCATGTGATCGAGCCACTGTTAACAACATCCTTGATTGAATGAGATATGAGAAATTTATAATGTTCTCCTATGAGTAAAAGTATAATAGACGAGGCAAGCTATTATTAATTTCTTTGTAACATCTTTAATTCTTCATTTAAGTAACTGATACATTTGTGAACATTTACGTGTGAAGAATCATGATTTATCCAAACAAAATAGACTCTACGCCAGTGTAATGTTCACCCCACCATATGCACTTGGCGTGAGGGTAACTTGAGTGTGGAGCGAGTGCCGATCTGTTCAGCCGGCATAAGGAAGCCGACCAGTAATCCTCCTCGTCTTCTTCGTCATCTTCGTCGCTGTTGTCATCGTTGTCTTCTTCTTCTTCTTCTTCTTCTTCGCTCTTCCACCATTCGCGACGATGCTTCAAAGAAACCACGTGGATGTCCGCGCACCTGTCGCTCTTTATTCTCCCTCTCCTTCGCTCCCTTCCTTTTCCTTTCTTTTTCTCTTCTTTCTTCTCTCTCTTTCTCTCTCTCTCTCTCTCTCTCTCTCTCTCTCTCTCTCTCCCTCTTTCTCTCTTTCTCTCTCTCTTTTTCTACGTTCCCTATCTTCTTATAATGTCTGTTCTTGTCTCTCCTACTACTGTTTCCAGAAAATAGCCTTCATCGTATCTTTTTCTCTGTTTTCATCGTTCTTCCATCAGGTCTGTTCTACTAATCTGCTGGCAACTGCTCACTCCCCACCAGTTACTTCTTCTCCAGTAAAGCAAATCTTTCCCGCACTAGAGGCACAGAGATCCTCGTGCTCTCTTTCTCGAAGCTCTTTTTATTCTCATTTATCCTTCCTTCTCATTTGATTCCCATTGGTGTCTCATTTCGCTTATACATTTTCGACTACAACTGAAGAATTCAACAGTATGCGCAACTATCGAAAAATTCCCTCGATGTTTCGATTATGAGCTCGAACCGAGATTGAAAATTTAAAATTGTATAGAAATACAATGAAATGCATTTGTCACGACATAAATTTCTGATTTTTATACTTATTGTAAGGCCTTACTTATTTATGAAATAATTATTTTGATATAAAAATCTCGAAAAAAGGAGAAATCTTATTGTAATTATACAATATTTTAAATAATACCTTTAGATATTAATTTAATTTAATTTTCCTCAACAACTTTTATACATAAAATCTCTCATTAAGTATTTTATTCAATAAGATTTCTTCGCTTTGATGTGATTTTAATTAATTGTGATTTTTTTTCTATTTTCTTATCTGAAATCATTACTTTTAAATGTCTTGCAATCTTTTACATTTAATAAAATTAGTTATATAATATGTTATATTTTCATTTTCCATCTTTCTAAATATTACCAATAATAGAATTTTTCTTCTCTATTATTTTTCTTCACTGTTAAATTTTCCTTTGCACATTTTTTTTTTCACCGTCGTTGCATCAAACTTTTTCGAATCCTTGTCATAAAACAAATACAGTAAGTTATTCTAGTATAGATTCTATAGTATATATTTTATTAATTATCAACATATTTATAAAATCTTTAGGTATTATAAAATTAAGTTTTTATTATAAAATTAAAATATCCTTGATATAAAAATTCTCTAGTAGAAATGTTCTCGGCAGCGCCACGGTACTGACTAGCGCTACTTTGTCACTAGAGATAGAATTTATTTTTCTTTCGTTCAAATGAGTATGAAAAGATAATAAAAAATTAGAATTACCCAATATACAAGGTGTCCCGGATCTACGGGATCATCTCTCGTGAATAGATAGAGTGGACTAAACTGAATCGAAAAGTTCTTTACCATTTTGCAATTTTCATAATACTTTAGGATATATTAATTTTTAAATATGAATAAACTGAATAGTCATGATTGCTTGATCGAATAATGGCGCCTAGTGGTAACCTAGGCAGTTTTGCGCGACGAATAACTGCGATCGATGATGATATACTTGGCAGTAGTCTATGTGGGTACGTGCTTATTCGGTGATCTTTAGAAATTAATATCTTCTAAAGTATATAGCAAAAATTACAAAATGGACTTTTCGATTCAGTTCAATCTATTCTACTTGTTCACAAGAGGTGATCCCGTAGATTAGGAACACTTTGTATATTATACATTGTATATTATACAATGCTTAACAATGATTAAATTATTATATAATTATTACCTGAAATAAAGTATGAAACCTATTATAATGCAACATATCATAAATAGAATCAGAGCCAATGCTGAATAAGCCACAAATTTTTCGTTTCGCATCCATCCAAAAATTGGTCGAGTTAATTTATCTTCCATTAAATGAGTACGCCAATTTGGAGGGTTAAGAACTTATCCGATTGATAAAAATATTTCATAAGATAAAAATGTTTCATAGATAATACACAGAATTTTCAGTAATAAAAGTATTCAGAAAAGGAACAATATTTTCTACAGAAAGTAAAATAATTTTCCAATAAATTTTCCAATTTTCTGATAAATAAACAATACAAAACCTACAGCACAAAAATTGTAGCAACACTGCTGCAATATTGCAGCATTATTGCAGCGATATTACTGCAATTAATTTTGTGCTATATGAAAAAGATTTTTATAAGAATGTTTATAATGTTATATTATAATGTTATAATAAATTTATTATCAAACAATCCTTCAACAAGCATATATATGTATATGTGCGTTTATATAGCCGTATGAATATTAGGCAGATATAGTAAAATATAGTAATATGTTAGTAGAATGTCGACGGTTAGTAGCAGATTTGATCAGATGTGTTAGTTAGATTGATTTCAATTAATATCGCATTCTATTCTGTCGATAGTATCTATTGAAAATTCTATTGATACGTTCTGAGTTACACATAAAGTGCATGATGCATCATTTGTTCTTGTTTATCAATTAATAAAGAAGGATATAACGTGTGCTTCATGCGTAATTCGACGCATCCTATGACTAACAGATTGACAGAAATTATTGTAAACAAAACGCTTGTTGACATTGTATGTCAGCAGATTGACAGAAACCGAGCAGGATCTGACTATCTGCTGAGAGAATCTTGATTATTTTCTATTAATTTAAATATATAATAATATTAAATCATTCTGTTTAAAAAAATATTTATTAAATATATTTCATACCTTTCACGCGGATTACATTTGTTGTCCATTTAAATTGCAAGTCAATTTGCTCCACGATGCATTTCCATATACCGTGATGAGACTTATTTATAATAGGAACATAATCAACATTTGTAGCTACAGGCAATGTAACTCCATAGTCTTTCCATACGTTACCATTGATCATCCAATAAACTTTCAAATTAGAATATACATAACCGAGGATAGCACAGTGGCATGTAACATGCATAGATAGAGTTTCACGAATAGTAATGCTTTCCTTAATAGGAACTACTGCCAAAGTTATCACCTTAATTATCATATATGTTCCATCTATTCGATGTACAGTAAGCGTATATACGCCCGAATCAATTAATGCTGCTCTATTTATTACTGTAAATTAACAAAATTATATATATTAATTTATACATATCATTACGTATAAATACTCATTATTGTGAATAAATGTTATATTACGTACTGATTTCGTAATCTTTAATTTCCCTGTGATGATTGTTTTGAATAAAAATTCCATTATGGGACCACTGTATTTCAGAATTAGGTGATTCAATTCTGATAGTATTCACAATATTAGAATCTGAATGGAGCGATACTGATGCATATTCCTTCACAGTAAGAGCGGTATGATTATATGCGATAACTTTTTTTATTAAAGTTATAGTATCTACAATTAAAATACAAGTAAAAATTATTATAACATATTTTTAAAACAATTAGTATACAAAAAAAGACAAATACTCGATATAATATTACATAATATTATATAATGTAATATCATATGATATTTCTAGTTATAGATAGTATGGTTAAAAATATGTATATTCTAATTATTTGTTATTTGATAAAAAATAATTTGATAATAATAATGACTTAGGAAGATATAATAAAATATCTTCTTAAAAATATATATTAGCTTGTAAAGAATATTATAAAAATTTTAAGATATAAAAAAAATAATTTATATTTTGAAAGTTTTTTCGATAATTCTATTTGATATATAAAAGAATTTTAATATTTTATAATTAGAAAAATGCATATTAGTAAAACAATTATTATAATTTTATTTTCAAAGCGGCAATTGCTTTTGTGTGATTTTGAAGAAATTACTTTTTTTCGGAGATGATTCTTTTAAAATGAGATACTTATATTATATTCTTTCACATATAGAAATATTTAATAAAATATTTCGAAAACAAAATATTTTATTAACTAATAGAAAAATGAAAACATTATTAAATATTAATAAATAATTAGATAATAATCCGTATCAGTATACCATCAGTTATGTCTCCGCAAAGAATCATATTACAACGACCTGTTATGCTGTTGGGTCCTGTACAAGGCTCCCCCCGCACATTAGGTTCCGGTGAATTGCAATATCGTCTTCTAATTCCTACACCACCGTTACAACTAACACTACACACCCATGGTCCCCATTCTGACCATCCGCCATCTAAAGGGGGTCCATCGATATCTATATACAATTAAATAATTATAAACAATAAGCTTCAATATCAACAGTTTAAATACGTATAATAATGATTATTATTTGTGGTACACTATAATGAATAAAAAATATTACTAAAACTAATAAATAGGGATATAAAAATCCTTAATATTATTTTAGAATATAAATTTTTTTATTTAAAATTTTTTTCTAAAATATTCGATCTTTTTCCTATATTATACCTGATGGTATGCAATTTGCACTCCAAGTAGCCCAACCTTTTGGATCCACAGCAAGCGAAAAAAAATAAAAAATAAGCGGTTGACGATGCACATAATTAAATATGTTTGTCTTGTTGCAAAATACTTCAATCGTATTGTCAGACCATCTTTCCGATAAAATCACGAAAAACCATAAATAAATTGAATTATATATTTTAATTAGATTCTATAGAATATGCAAATATACGTTCAACAGTTGATTACTTTATGGTAATATTTGTCCAGGAATTCGTATTGAATATAGGTTTAAGTGCGTTCTCTTTGTGATAAATTCTTACTTTAGGATATGTATTTTTCAAAAAATATATCCATTGACCTTGTTCACCAAGTGTAAGTGCATAAAATCTATAAAATGTAACATGTTATAAATAAAAATAAAGATCAGCGAAATAATTATTTTTATTTACCCTGATGTTGCAGGCAGTAAAAGTAATGGTATTAGAACAACACCCTTGGCGCGAATCATTAACATTAGTTTATTAGGTCTCATTACATCTTCTTTAGACCATATTGATAGTGGAAGTATTCTAGTATAATGATTAGTTTGTGTGTTCTCTATATGGCATCCTGTATGATAGTAGAATGAAAAATAATGAAAAAAAAAACAAAAATTTTGGAAATAATTGTAAATACTTATTTTAAATAACAAAATATACTTGAGGCACAATCGAAAGCAATTCCTATCACATGATCTTTTTCGCTATTATAATAATAATAAATTGGTAAAAATGCTTTGGATGGTTCAGCATGTTTCCATTCAAACAATGGATTTGATGCTCCTTCATAATAAAGAAGAACATATCCTCGAGGTATACGAATAACAAAATTACTCCATTTACCAAAATATAATAAATGCGGTAATGTTTTTTTTTTCACCAAAATTATGTCTAATGAATAATTAAGGAATAGATTAACTTATAGATAAAATGTATTATAAATATGCATGATTTCAAATTACCATTTTCTTCTGATTCATAATACAAAAGTATTTTCTCGTTATCGAAAGCTCCAATCTTAAGAATATAACGAGATTTTAATCCATCATCAGCAGTGAACACAAATGTTATGGAATCTGGATAATCAGGTTCCCATGTTTTTAATGAGAAACGTAAGCCTTCTGTACGATATTCTGGTAAAATGTATAATCGTCGTCCAATGCCGTGCCCCTTCACAAAAAATGTACATTCTTCTATAGAATAAATACAAATATATTTACCCATATTTACCCATGTAGCATAAATGGATTTATAAATACATATATTGATTTATAAATACATAAATGGATTTATAAATACAATATTACAGAAATATTTTTCATTGGAAGATTGTAATGTTACAAATATGTATATTGTGGAATATTATTGCAACATTCTCGTAAAATCGCAGCAAATATTCGCTAAGAAAGACTTAAACATTCTAATGACATTGCATTGTTAATAAATGTTTGTTAAAATCCTGCAAATTGCATTGTTAGTTGTCTCCAATAATATTATATATTCAGTATTGTAACTTTATGTCTTTTAATTAATTTATTTTTATAATTTTATCTGTATATGCTACAACAATACGTGATCATATAACTATGACATAAATGTTAAACATCACGGGAAAAGAATGTTTCATATATAATAATATATAATTATATATAATTATA